TGCACTGTGATCATCATGGTGCGGTCTGTCTCGTGCGTGTGGTGGCCGTACTGCATGACATGACCTATCTCGTGCATGTAGTAGCCGTAGTGCATGACATGATCTATCTTGCGCATGGTGTTGTCGTACTTCATGACATGGTCTGTCGGGCACATGATGAAGCAGGCCTCCAAGACCTCGTCTGCTAAGCTTCCGAACTCCTCCTTCTAGCGAGCTGGCCTCTGACGAGCTTCCGAAATGTTTCCAACGGAGAATTGGTTGCACAGTGGTTTTTAAATTCAAGAGCGTGATCTCGGTGTCTGTTTGACTCGTTTGCCTTTTGGAGGTCTCTGGAGATGGGTCCGTCTTGGTGGCCACGGGGGTTGAGCACTTCCTTTTTCTTCCCAATCCTTCGGCGGTGGTCACGCCTCCGGCTGGGCCCCATCACAAGATGGGCAGCGCGTAGTGCGCGCTCGAGAGCCGCACCACCGGCTCCTCGTGCCCGTCTGGGTAGACGAGCGCCATCTTCTCCTTGATCAGGTCGGCTCCGAACTTCTCGAGATAGTCGAGGCCCAGCAGCATCGGCGACTTGGACTCCACGAGGTCGAACCACAGCTTGTTCTTGTCCTCAACGAGGGCCACAGGATGCTCGAGGCCGAACCTCCCGATGGACTCCCCTTTGCCTCCACCTGCATAGGTGAACTTCGTGGTCTTGGAGTAGTCCATCTCCACTTGGTCCTCGCCGGTCTCCTGGAGGATCACGTCCTGGATGGAGGTGGCCAGATCAAGCCCGATCATGCTCTTTGTGGCCCTGGTGTCGATGATAGCATAGCCGACCATCTCCTCGTGTACCCATCCAGCTTGACCCACATCGGTGTTGATGCCCTCGTTGCTGTAGCTAGTGCTGGTAGGGTCCTGTACTTCCGTCGGAGTGTCAGCGAACACCGCCAGCTGTCCGTTGGCCATCTGCATGCCGTTGCCGTCCGTGCCTGTGTTGCTCCTCTTGGGACAATCCACTGCGCGGTGAGGTTCTGAGCAGATGAGGCACCTGATGCCTCTCCCTTTGCCTGCGCCCTTCGCCAGGCGTCTCCCCGCTAGCTGTGGCGGGGGTGGAGCCCGCCTCTCGCCACCCTGAGGCCCAGGGGGCTTGGGCGGCCTCAAGACTGACTTGGCCGCGACCGCGGTCTTGGAGTCCTTGGCGGTCTTCTCGGGCAGCTGGCCGATCCCAATCACTGGAAAGTAGCCGCTCCTGTTCTTCGCAGCCTTCGCCAGCATCTTCTTGGCCTCCGTGAACGTCCGGTGGGCATCCTGCGCGTAGACCTCCGCGTCCTCCGCGTAGGCCTCTAGTGCCTCCAGGTCCTCGATCGCCTGCTCCTCGGTCTCGTAGTTCACGTCGGCCTCCTCGCTGTCCGCACCTTCTCCCTCGTAGAAGCCATGTTCGTCATCATCCTCCTCATCCTGGTAGTTGGCCTTCGCAGGAAGCCGCCGAAGGTCTCGATTATTCTGGTTCCTCATGTCGCGGTACCTCGCCGCGATGTTGTCCCTGGCCGCCAGGTCCTTGTCCGACCACACGTTCTTGAGCTTCTCGGCCTCGATCGTCCAGTCGGAGAGTCCGGCCACCACAGTGGCGCGCTCACTCGGGTCTAGGTTGGCATTCACGAGAAAGATGATGCCGCGCAGCTCGTCCGGGATCAAGTCCATCGCTTCCATGTCCGGGCAGATTGCTCGGACACTCTTCTCCATCTCCTGGCAGGCGTCCTCTTCTTGCTCCGCGTAGAGGCCGATGCTCTGTCCGAGCTTCCTCACCCTCGGTCCCGATGTCTTCCGATCGTAGTAGTAAGCAAATACCTTGTCCACCATATCGCTTGAGGCCTGCTTGCCCAAGCTCTTCTGAAAGGCCTTCAATAAATTGCTCGGTCCTCTCTCGCCCACGATCGATTCTGCCGTATCTTCTGTCCGAGGGAGGCGCAGAGCTAGCTTTCTGTGCGCAGTGTTCTTCGGTAGAGCCTGCACCAAGCGAGGTTCGAGCAGCTTCCTGTCTTCCTCCTTCGTGGCTAACGTGAGTAGCTCCACTTCGCTTGGTACTCATCCAGTGTCTCCGCCCGGCCGTCCCAGGTGGGGATCTTCTGGAACTCATAGCTTTGTGCTCCAGTGCTCGATGACGCCATATTGAGTCAGTAGATCACTTCAACCCAGCTCCGCTACCAATGTCGTATCGACTCGTCGCGGTATACTCGACAAGATTCGCTGAAAGAACAAGATGGAATATCAATCACCTCTGATGTAATCTGAGAAGGGAAACCTGTCTCTTTTCCTCTACCAAACTCAGTGGGCTGGGTATCCAGCCAAATCACACAGTACAAAGTATGATGTGAAACCGCGCACAGAAAGCTCGAGCACTGAATATCAGCACGGAAATCAACTGCTCATCGTGTGAGCGTAATCTTCACAAAATCCTGATTTCCACGACACCCTCCCCCCCTCTTCCTCCCGTGCTTGAATGGCGTCAGCCCCCTCCCCCCCCTCCCGGGCCTGAATGGCGTCAGCCCCCCCCCACCCGCCTCTTCTCTCCCGCCCCCCCCCCCACCACACGACAGAGCGACCCCCCCCCTCCTCTCCTCCCTCTCAGGCCTGACTGGCGTCAGCCCCCCCCCCCTCCTCTCTCTCCCGGGCCTGAATGGCGTCAGCCCCCCCCCCCCTCCTCCCTCCAGGACCCGAATGCCTCCCGGGCCTGAATGTCGTCAGCCTCTCCACCTCCCCCAGACAGAGCGAAGCTTGAGCGAGCTCAAGCCAACGCTCTCAGAAACTCACACGCCGGATCGGCTGATTTTCTCCTTCACGCAGGGCTCGCGCCTAGATGATGCGATCTGGGGCCATTTTCGTATCAGTGTTTTGGTTGTCCGTCGCTTCTTTCTTTTCTATTGTGCTGGCCTCCGGCCAGTGCCGCCGATCCGGGGCGCTCCGAATAATGATGATGATGATGATGATGATGATGATGATGATGATGATGATGATGATGATGATGATGATGATGATGATGATGATGATGATGATGATGATGATGATGATGATGATGATGATGATGATGATGATGATGATGATGATGATGATGATGATGATGATGATGATGACGACGACGACGACGACGACGACGACGACGACGGATGATGATGATGATGACGACGACGACGACGGCGATGATGATGATGATGATGATGATGATGATTTTGATGATGATGATGATGATGATGATGCTGATGCTGATGATGATGATGATGATGATGCTTGTGCTGATGCTGATGCTGATGCTGATGCTGATGCTGATGCTGATGCTGATGCTGATGATGATGATGGTGATGGTGATGGTGATGGTGATGGTGATGGTGATGGTGATGGTGATGTTGATGATCGTACTAAGGAAAATAATGATGATCATGATGATGCTTATCATGGTAATAGCCATGGTGAAGAGCATGAAGATGGTGATGACGATCACGATGATCAGAATTGTGATGCTGGTGATGGTGATTGTGGTGCTGATAGCTGGTAATGCTGACGGTGGTGTCGATGTTGATGTCATGTATTCTCAGGGTACTGGGAATACACGACCGTGTATGGCGTCGGGAATGGTGCCCCCCCCCTCTCCACGGCTCCCGAGCAGCGAACCCCCCCCGGCTCCCGAGCACTGCATGGCGTCGGGAATGGCGTCCCCCCCCCCTGTCCACGGCTCCCGAGCAGCGACCCCCCCCCCCCGGGTCTCGAGCACTGAATGGCGTCGGAAATTGCGTCCCCCTCCCCCCCCCCACCTGTCCACGGCTCCCGAGCAGCGAACCCCCACCCGGCTCCCGAGCACTGCATGGCGTCGGGAATGGCGTCCCCCCCCCCTGTCCACGGCTCCCGAGCAGCGACCCCCCACCCGGCTCCCGAGCATTGAATGGCCTCGGTAATGGCGTCCCCCCCCCCCTGTCCACGGCGCCCGAGCAGCGAGCCCCCCCCCCAGGCCCCGAGCACTGAATGGCGTCGGAAATTGCGTCCCCCCCCCATTGCTGAGTGAGCGAAGCTTGAGCGAGCTCAAGTCCGCGCTGCGCAAGGGCCATTTTCGTATCAGCCTTTCCGCTTTCCGTCGCTTCCTCCTTTTCTATTGCTTGTTTTCTTTCTCAGGCCGTTGGGGTAGTGCTCCGCCGCGCGACTTTCACTTCGAGTCTCGCCGCACTTGTGCGCACGCATTTGCGGTCTCTCCCCACGGGTTGCGGCCTGAACTCCTCCCATGCACGGAGAACATATGTGCGTTCTCACACAGAAACACACACACTCTCACATACTTGTTTTTGGAATGTATGCAAATTCATATATAAACAGTATAAACACCTGTAGCCTCTGCGTGCGTGTGTGTAAATCGATGTGTTGATATACCCAGATGTGTTTCATATCCTAGATTTTCGGGCGTAGGGAGTGGCAAGGCTATCCACATTCGCCGTCTGCCGATTTTCTTCGGACATCTACCCTTCATGCGCGGTGGTTCTGGGCAAGTCCCTGTCACCGAACTTTGGCGCAGGCGGCCCGCACAGGGTGTGCCCCACCAGCGGCCCACGCATGTCTCCGCGCAAGGCTGCCGTGTCCGCGTGCGTCAGACAAACGAGCCACGAAACGAGAGGTCCCCGCCAAAGGCAGGGAGCTCCGAGGGGTTCAGGCGGACGACTCTCCATCGATGGCTCCGAACAGCAATCCGGAGCCAGGGAGCTCCGAGGGGAGCCCCTCGCCTGCAAGAAGGCGCCCCTCCGACACACCCCCTGCCAGATTCCGCTCAAAACTGGTCCACAGACCAATCTTGGGGTGCCATTCGGTCCATCCCCCAAGCTGCGTCCAGCCGTGGTGGCGAGAACCTCTTGAAACTCTCAACAGCTTCCACTAAGGCCAGGTGAGGGGCCGCAGGGAAGGCGGACGAACCGCGAACCACGAGCCACGAGCGCCACGAGAATACGGAGCTCGGGCCGAGGCCCAGGGCGTGATCGCCGCCTCAGGTCTTCCAGGAGAAGGTCAGCCAGGCGTGCGGGGGCGCCGCGGAGCGCGGCAAGCAAGCATGTGTCTCGCAGGCCGCGGAGGGGCTGTTCTGCCAGCTGTTAGCGCGGCAGCGGCCAGAGCTCGCAAAGCAGGAACTGGCGGCGCGCACAGACCCCGTAAAATCGTGAAAACTGACGACGGGATGCTGTTGGCAGTTTTCGGCATCGGGGCGCTCGCTAGGCCCCTGGAGCGGTATGAAACAGGGGTCCTGGGGAAGAAGGGGTCGAGACCTTTGGGGGCCCGCGTTGTGAAGTAAACACGACGTTGGAGTTCTGGGTTGGTGGCGCGCACCAAGGAGGTGGTGCGAGGTGGTTGTGCTTCTAAGGCTGAGGGCGGGGGCTTGGAGAAGACATTGGACTCTTCGACGGGCTCAGATGCTTCTCAGACGGCTTCTCAGAAGACGGGAGGGCTTCTAAGAAACCACCTGCCTTCTCGGAAGTTCCACTGCCTTCTCAGAAGGACGCCTCCCTCGCGTCACCCCGTTGTGCGGGCCGCCAGAGGAAGGCTGCAGCGGCAGCGCGTTCCATGCGAAGGCCCCGTCGCTGGTCCAGCTCCAGGCTGGGAGGAGGAAAGCATGCAGGGAAGCTGGAAGAAGTGGCCAGGACCAGCCCTTCCACTCTTTCCAATTCTGGCCCAGTTCCCGCAAGCTCTTCCAGCCCTGGCGGCCTCAGCCCAACTGTGCCGGGCTCGTCTCAGCCCCCCCTGCCAGTTTTTCCAGCTCTGGCCCCTTGCGCTTTCACGGACCCGTCAACTTCAACCTTTTCCAGCCTCTCTGTGCCGATGCGCCGATATCCCTTCCCACACTTGGGCGGCCCTCGCCGCCACGGTTGGATCCGCCGCAAAGTCCTGATCGGATCACACCCGGGGAGCGGTCCAGCGAGCAGCGGTGTTGATAACTATCCTTCGTATCCACCGCAGGCGAGCAGGGGCCCGGAGGACGACCTCGCCCAGGAGATGACGCACGACCTGGAGATGAACTTCAACAAGATCGCCCCGTTCGGCAAGGAGGACACCGCCAAGGAGCTCCAGGACCACGCTGCGAAGACGCAGGACACCCTGGTCGACGCCGTCGAGAACGCGGAGGTCGCGGAGATCAAGCGAGCCGTGTTCCGGGCTCTGACGCGCCTTCGGGCGGCGACGATCAAGGAGTTCGGGGGCGCACCCAGGGATGAAAGAAGCTTTCTAAGCCTCCTCCGAAGGAAGACAGAGGCGGTTTCTCAGAAGGTCGCAGGGCTTCTAAAAAGCCCAGCCGCCTTCTGAGAGGACCCGCCCCTCTCACTGCCTCCTCGCACTACACTACCGTGCGCATGGTATTGCGTCTCCTCCCCCCCTTCACTATCGCCCCCTGAATGATGTACACTTACAGTATGTTTCTTCTTCTTCTATTATGTCCTCCTGGAACCTACGTCAAAGCATGAATTTGTTTCCTGCCGAGCATCATGTTTGTGCGAGGGGCACTCGACGGGAGCTTGGCTTTTGTGGGGGGAGGAAGGGGTGCCCACGCGCTTAATTTTTTGTACACAGCTGGTTTGACTGGAACTGTTGACGCTTCGCGTATCCCCACCAGCGACCGTAGCCTGGCTCAAGCCGTCTGGTGGCCTGCTCCCCTCGGGGCAACCTCCCACCGCTCAAGGGGGCGCCTGGACGCCATTTACCCTCCAGCCCAAGGCCGCTTTCCCCCCAGAAGGCGACGCAGGCGATGGCTGATCCGCACCAGGGTATACTTGGAGATGGTGATCCAGCAGTACGCGGCACAGGAGACTGTGTACTGGCTCCAATGGAGACATCGCCCCCACAGAGTGAGCAGCCTCCGCCGATACGCGAGGACGAGCCAGCACTGAACACAGATCCAAGGCCACCCCCGAGGCGCGAGGGGCAAGAGAACTTACAGTTGCTGGTGGAGGGACACGTCCCTGAGAGGAACCCTGAACGCATTCCATTCCCCCTACACCTCCCGCCTCTCCTCGCGGCGGAGCGGACGAGCCACAGTGGGCGCAAACAGAGGACACACCTCGGCCCACAACGGTCGGAAATGGGGATGGGGAGCAGGCTCGGGAGACAGCTCTGGAAGCTTGCCCAGTCGACAGAGCCTCCCCCCCAGCAAGGGTGGACACTGACCCTCCACTGGACGGCGCGGATCGAGGTGTCAATGCTCCCCCTCTCCCATCCTATGATCCAACAGTGACCGTGGTTGTCGGCCGCACCTCCTCCTCTTCTCATCCCCCCGAGTGGCAGGATTCATGTGCCGCGCCACCTGGAATGCGGCAGCTCGACCAGAGATCGGCCGACGGAGTGTCCAGTGCTGGGGGAGTACCGTCAAGAACGGAGACGGCCCTTCCACAGCCCCATGACAGAGATGCGGCGAGTAGAGAACCAGCGCTCCCCGACGGTGACCCCAATCTCCGTGCATTTCATCAGATCCAGCGGCTATCGGCTGCGCCTCCCTTTCTCCTCCTCCAACTTCACCAGTTAACGTGGCTATCGGCCACACTTCCCCACACTCCCATCCTCCCGTGGCGTGCGACTTATCAGATCCAGCGGCTATCGGCTGCACCTCCCCTCCCGCTCCCCCTCGCGAGACGATGGATGGCCTGGCCACGGCACATGGACCCCCTTGTGATGCCGAGGCGCACGCGCCCGTACCCCCCGAGGTCGCAACGGTGGGCAATGCCACCTTTATTGGAGCTACGCGGAGGGGAGGGACACTGCCCTCCCCCACAGCCTTCACAGCTTGGCTCCCCCGAGACGAAGCGGCCGTGGAGCGAGCTGCGGCCATCCCAGTGCCTCACTCGGGGGACGACCTCGAGATAACCCCCACTGTGCCCTTTAACCCGAGGGGAGACAGCGCAGACGGGGAGGGGCGGCACGAAGCTGAGCACGGCCATGGTAACAGAGCAGGGGCAGACTCGGGAAGAGAGTCGAACCCAGGAGAAGACGAGCAAGACGACAGGCTCCCGTTCGAGGAGGCACACGACTGGGATGCCGACGATGAAAGCACCTCGGACTCGGACGCTTGGGGTCGGCACAGCCCAACCTCCCCCCCGCCGCGCATCTGGTCACCCCGAGGTGCAAGGGCAGGGGCGCGCAGCCCCGCAGGAGTAGAGGACTATCGCGAACAAGGGAGACAAGGCCCCCAGTCTGGGCCCCCCCCGTCTCCGGGAGGGGAGGTGTCTCGTAATGTCGACGCTCCCTGCCAGGCCCCCGCAGCGATGGACCGTAGGAATACCAAGAGGGGAGGCCCCCTCTCAGCCCTTCTCTTGCGACGCGAGCCTAGGGGCGGGCCGTGGAGGATGCGCGGGGTCTCCCCCCGCAGCCAAGCAATGAAAGAAGGATTGGTCGGGCTGATAAGGCGATGTTGGCTCCGGCACCCCCCCGGGAAATGTCAGTTCCCCAGCGGCAGGTGGAGAAAACCGGCCCGACAGGAACCAAACGGAACGGAGGGGCACAGGGGACATCCGCAGCGTCGCGACAGCCATGGCTCACCTAGACCTTACATGGCTGGCGTGGTCCATCGCGGGCTCCGATCACGAGGCTAGGCTGGGTGAAATCGGGCCAGACCCTGTTCAGATGCTTGCCTTCCGCTATGCCAGTCTCGCACAAGACCCGGACATCGGGGGCGACGTGCAAGATGTTCATGAGCCTACGCAGGAGGAAACCCTAGCGGCGGAAGCAGAATACGACACTCTATACCACGCTGCCCTCTACGTGGACATAGGGATGTGCGAGCCTATAGGGATCAGACCTTCCTCCCAACCCTCCTAGGCATGTCCAGGTGGCGGCGCGACCCTGCGCCCGACGCAGCGGACAATTGATTTACTGACGCGAACTTGGAGCGAAAGGCCAGGATCTGCAAGCATCTCGTCCACGAGCACCGCCGCAACTCCGTGCACTTTCCGGGCCACAGCGAAGTCCGACGTTGGGCCATCAGCAGAGGACACTGGGTCGAGGCCGGTACAGATGTCCTCTCAACACCGCAACAGGGCCTAGGCCGCGACGGGTGGGTTATACCAGCTATTCACAGCGCTGAACCGCAGCCCCCTGGCATAGTGGGGCCCAGAGACTTTGAAGGCGACAACCCGACAGGACCCGTGGCCCGTCAACAGCACCTCCCAAATGATCATGAGTGGGGATTTCCTTCATCCCAAAGGCAGATGTGGAAACTGCGGATGCTGGTGCGTGAGGCAGGGCGCGAGTAGCTGCATCGTGTGTCGCAGATTAGGATCAGCGTGGACCGCTGACACGGGCAGCTGTCCCACCACTGAGCTGGAAGCCCCCGGCCACCCCCTGGACCTGCTGGGCGCGAGGCTCACTTTCCAGCTGGCCAGGGTGGGGGCCCGCTACGCCCCCATCGCCGGCCACGTCGACAACGAGCGTCACCCGTCAGAGACCACCAATTTCTTTCCGTCTTGGCTGATATCCGAGCTCCTCGCAGCATGGCGCCACATGGCGGAGGCGGAAATGGAGAACTTCGGGGGGCTTGGCCTGCCAGAAGGGCGAATGCCCGGCACGCCAGGACCATGGGGCGAGCCGGCGCTCTGGGCAGCGGCCGGCTCTTTGGCCAGGCTCTGCTATGCACCGATGGGATGGGCTATAGAGGCGACGACGCACCTCCAGCACGCCATGCGACAACACCCCCTCGGCGGCCGGCTTCGCGAGTGGGTTCCGAGGTGCCTCTTGGGCGCCCCCACCGCCAACATACTTGCGCACCCCCCTGCAGCGAGAGGCCCGACTCAGGGCGCACGGGGCCCAAGGACGAGGTACCGACACTGCTTCGAAGGCCTCCAGGTCGGAGACATGGAATGGCCCCGAAGAGAAATCGGAGGTCCGTTCATCGACCAGGCCCTCGCCATCACTCCGGCAGACAGGGCATGGGCGACGGGCGCGAGCTCTGAGGCGATTGAAGCAACCGAAGTGGCGTGCAGAGCCGTAGTGGCGGCTGCCGTGGGCAGCGGGAGATTAATGGCATACAGCCTGGCCCCTGGAACCCCGCGCGGGGAGGCTCTGCGATTGGCGATAGCCCTGCGGACGAGAGCGAGAGGAATCAGGGCCCCGGTAGCCCGAGATGACCGCCAACAGGGCAACGTAAGAAGGGGTGGCGACGCACGCGCCACGAGCACCCCAGCGCCAAGTCCGACAGCGTTCCCACCTCACAGAAGTGAAGGAAACGCCAGGAGAGTGCTGCGAGAAATCCAGGACATACGCACCCAGGTCGCGAACGACAACATTCCACCAAACATGACATGGAGTCGACTGGCGGTGCCCTTCGTATGGGGGGACAGCGACAGAAGAAGGAAGGGCCACGCTCGAGCATGCGTTTGAGGCCACGGGGGCCCGCAGCTCCCTGGCGAGGCGGGCCAGCGAAAGATGGCAGCAGGCGGGGGTCGCCGCCCTGGAGGGGGCACGCCGCAGGCTCGGACTAGCGGCGGCCAACCTGACGACAGAAATCGGAAGGACAGTCGCCATGATGAGGTGGCTTGACCCCCGTGGGCAACTCCAGGAGGCGGTGCTAACAGCAGACAGACAAGCGGTCGAAAGCGGCGCGCGATTGCGAAACGCTCGGGCCCAGGACCGAGGCAGCGGGTACGGGGGCAGCATAGCAGGTAGACAGCGGCCCACCTCCCCCGCACTAGGAAGGGCACAAAGCACCACCACCCCGTGGCACGAGAGCACCAGACAGCAGCCTGGGGGACACACCAGCGACAGCGGCAGGTGTGCCGCACAGGTATTCAGTAGGGGAGGAACCCTGGACGCCTTGATACGGACAGTCGACGCCGCGCAGAGAGACAACGAAGCGGCGGGCAGAACCAGGCAACATAATGTGGACCGCACCTCCCTCAACGGATCAGAGGCCCAGACATTGGCAGAAGGATTGCTCAGAAAGACCAGAACTCGACTGGACCCAGCGAGCTGGATATCGAGAGCCATGTGGCTCTGCCTCGCGCCCCACTACGGCCCCCTATTGAGACCGGTGCTCCAGGTGCGAGGCATAGACAACCGGCCCTTCGAAGTCCTCACCAGATGGCGGCAAGTCGCTGACGTGCATACCCCAAATGACATTAGACGCCAATTGGAAGAAAGGGGGGAACAGCCCCCCGCTGCCTACCCCCCGTTCGGGAACTATCTGATATGTCTTCTTTTCAAAACAACTTCGCT